ATGTTTATGGTAAATGGACAGATAAAACCAGGGTTTTATGCAGCTTCATATCTTATCTGGAATGTCTTATATTTGCTTCATTATGCACATATTAAAGCCACACAAATGCTTCTGTAGTTCTCTAGATCGACGAGGGGCTTCAAACCGATTGCCAACGACTCTGCTCATCGATCGATGGGTAAGGAGTCACTGTAGACTCAGCAACAAGTTCATCGATGAGGAGCCACACTCATCGATGACCACTTGCTCATCGATGAGTCTGCTAGCAGAGTCACCCTTTCGAGCTGATTTTAAATTCCGTTCGATTTCGCTATCGGTTCTACACTCTGCATACGCAGAAGTCATATCAAACACAAATCAGTCACGTATACACACGTTTGTTACTATTCAGACAAAAGAAATTGTACGGATCGACAAGGTCCTAACTCCTTGTTCTTTTCCTACTAACATGCTTAACATAGAAGCCTAATGAGTGGTGGGGTGTGTTAATAGCTAGGGCCCCTAAATTCCAAAATGTTTCATTTAATGCATGTTTCATTTCTCTGGATGACTAACGTGCACTTGTGAGTTTGTCATCTAATTTAGATTCCTTCTTAACTACATGTTGGAGCTGGCTTTACCCATTTAATATTCTTCTATCCTTCCTTGGATTTTCCAAAGGATGAAGCATTTTTTTTTAAATGCGAAAATCTTAGCTCCCAATCCTCTTTCATATCATTGTATATGAACCCCTCTTTATTCCCACATGCCTTTTTGTCCTTTACAAATGCATATTATTACCTGTTCCTCTCACTAATACTTTCGAGTATGAAGAGATTCTTCCAAGTACTAATCATCTTCGGGATCCAAATTAATCACACCTTAGAATATTTGGATCTTTCAAAAGCGTGTTCGCTTTCCTACCGAAGAAAAATAGTATATCTGTATGGCATTTGAACATCCGTACCGAGTTCAACTTGGCCTGCTTTCATATTTGTATTACCTGATTATTCTTTTCTTCCTGCATCAGTATCATTGGCGAGCTCTTCTGCATAACTCTGGTACTATTTCTTTGACCATTAGCAATGACAGAGAGCCAGAGAGCTTTACATTCATTATCTTAAAGTTAAAAAGAAGGCGATCGTATTAATTCCTTTTGACCCACTGAATCAAATCCCAAAACTTTTGCTCGGCGCAGGTAGATCTTCTTAAAGTGGTCGATAATGGTGCATGAATAACTGATTAATTAGGTTTGCGCATGGCGTCTAAGTGGAGCCTGATCACCCTCGTCTTGGGTGTTTGTGCGGTTTGATTACGCTTTAACAGTAATGCTAATCGAGTTTTTACGCTTGTTTGGTGGCGGAGAACTACTGTTGTATTAAGTTATGTAACAGGCCAAGGGTCTGCCCACTAGTATAAAGGACTAATTTGTGTAATTTACGGAACCAAGAGTAGGCCTAAATTAAGTTTTGCCTTCAAATTAATACCTTTTAATTTCATGACGTGGGTCTAGTCCAACTTCATTTTCCTTTAAAGACTGAAATGTCAAGGGAAGTTAGGCGCATTTTCTCAATTTTTTAAGCATTGTGTTTAGGACTAGATTGATTATGAGAAACCTATGAAGCGTGAACAAATCATCACTAGGCATCACCAGTCATTTGACATATGTAAGGCACTAAGCCTAGATCTGGTTGGTGTAGTATTCACATGCATGTGATCATCATCATTCTGGCTACTCTTTACTAAGTTTTAAATTGAAACCTGTACTTCATGATCTCATCATTACTATATCACAAACATGAGAGTCATTTGATGACTGGTTTTCTTAAAAGAGTTCAATTCTCTGAAGGGTTTCGTTGCTTTATGAGGTATCATATATCTTTCTATTCCAAGGAAAAATATAAGATATATTTAGTCATCCTGATCAAATGACAGGCTATTAAATTTCTCTGTACTTGCGAAAGATCGTTGAGAGAGTTGTGTTGGATACTAACACTGCACTCCTGCGATTAGGTAGTTTTTAAATTTACATCATCGAATATGAATGTTTTTTGTTTGGTTAAATCCAAACAGATTGCTACATTGCCTAAGGATAAAAAGTTGACAGGGAAGTCATAGATAAAACCTGCAAAAAGACCGAGCTCCTACTCAAGTCTATTTCTTAAAAATTCAATCTTTGTCACCCATTTTCTTCTATTCACACCTTTATCTAGACGTGTGTAAAATTTAATCTTTCCTCGTAATTTCTTCCCTTTTCCTACTCATGCATGCATGGACTAAAAATGTACTATGTAGCTACAATTAACAATGTCATTGTCTTCCGTAGGTGTTCTCAAAGAAAAAAAGGATTCTCAAGATGGTGATAGATTAATAAACCATTTAATTTCATGAACAAGACAAGATTTTTGAGATATAGTATCCGCTGCCCGTGTGGATAAAAAGATACTTGATTCAATTAACATTGGTCTAAACGTCGAGTTGGTTAGAGAAGTTAGCCAATTAAGGTAATCAAAATATTTGGGAAATACTGACAAGGGAATTAGTTATCCAAGCACTTCAATTCCAGAAGCTTAACTAATGCTCGTTGGAACCTCCGATCCTGTTCTTTGGTCCGTTTCGCTATTGACGAATGAAAACTAACGGATTCCTTTGCATTTTGATGGAGGGAGGTTATGATGAGCATAAATTGACCTTTAATTTCACTTCTGCTATAGGGACCTGATGAAGAGACAAGTTATTAAGTCTATTCAAATATATATATATTTTAATTACAGAAAGGATTATTTGTTCCTTTTCCTGTGACATGGGTGGATTACTTTGTTTAATGAAGTTCTTGTGATCTTATGCTTTTGTCCATCCATTGATACCTGTATTAAGAAATTTGTAACTAGAAACATAAGAAACAAGACATCAGACAATTACTCAGGATTTTTTGCAGCATAATCTTGTTTGATACATTCAAAGAAGGGAAATCTTTATCTGATATCATGACAGCTTATCTCGTGCGGATAGTTTTGTTTTGTGCTATTCATTGTCATCAATCAAGCATCATGCTCCCTCTCACTAGCTCATAGGCATATGAGTGTAACTTTGTTTATATGTGCGTTTTGATGATAAGAAAAGATGAAGACATTTATCTTAAAGAAAATAATGGCTCTCGAAATCGGAACATGGAGACGAAGTTGTCGTTAGGATGTCAACATTGTTTTTGATTGATCGTTGCTTCATTATGTCTTAAGGTGATATGTATAGAATCTATAGATTACTTTGTTTTTACCAACTTGTCAAGCTTTGGACATCTTGAGAGTTTTAGATTAGTTTTAGTATTAGTTTCATTGATAATGACTAAGTTGTACTATTGCCCTTGCAATTAATCGAGTACAAGTAGGTGTGTAATGTTAGAACCATCAAGGACAGTATCCTATAACATTTGAGTTTGCACTAATCAACTGAATGTTGTGTCCAAATGCTGAATATTTTCTCATTTATGATTGTGGAGATGCATACTGATTTATCATTAAGGTTCTGTATAGAGGTGTAGTTTGGATGGTTTAAAAAGAGCCAGAACACTACTAAGCTGACTAATTAAGAATCAGGTATCTCTGAACCTGAGACATTTATGTGCATAAAGTTATAGAATTAACACCCACTTGTGGACTTGTTTGAAATACTTTTTCCGATCGTTTTTGCTCTCCTAATTGATCACTGAGTAGTTAAGAATCAAGTACTCTTTGCGTATCTCTTAACGTACACTACCTGCATAATATGTAGCAGCCGATATCCTCTCATGAAATAGTTCACCCCTTAAGTTAAAAATGTTGCGCCCGGCGGAAGCGGACTCAAACCACGAGTCGATAAGCAACGAACGAAGAACTACACGAGCACAATCCAAAATAAAACAGCCAAAATCAATCACAAACATAGAGATATATGTGGTTCGGCAAGTTGCCTACGTCTACGGAGAGAGGATGGAGAGATTTCACTATATGGAGAAGAAATACAATGTGTTACAACTCTTAAACAATCACAATAACCCTAACCAACAAGATCTCACTCACTCTCAAAGAATCTCCATCTCAAAGTGCTCAAACAACTCTATTTTCTATGATAAAACCCTCTCTTCAAACCCTAAAAACGTTCCTTTAAATATATAAACCAACCAAATCCAAAACGTGCTACAAAACTATTGGAAACAGGGGTGTAAACCCAAACCTGGTCGGCGGTGAGCTTTAGGAGACCTCGAAGAGACTCAGGCGAGGTCGAACAACTGAGGCGCAGGCGAGCTCGAAAGGGCATTAGGCGAGGCTGGTTGCAGGCGAGCTAGAAAGTGCTTCAGGCGAGGCTGGTTGCAGGCGAGCTCGAAGAGGGCTTCAGGCGGTCAAGCTGCGGGCGAGCTCCCCACGAGGTCGAGCGGACTCTCGTGGCGCAGGCGAGGTCGACGTCACGGCCTTCAGGCGACGTCGAGTCCTATAGGCGAGATCGAAGTCGTCGAGCGCAAGCGGAGTCGTCGAGCGCAAGTAGAGTCGACAGAAAACAGGAAAGCTCGAGCTTGAACGACATCAGGCGAGCTCGAACGATTCCCTTTGGTGAGCTCAGCAAGATCCTCACAAGCGCGTTGTGGGAAACAACTAGATCCAGCTGCTGGTTAGGGTTTCCCTATTTAAGGGAACCCTGTGCACAGGCTTCCCCAGGTTCCCATGCCCTCTGCCTCCCCTCCTCCCCCCCTCCCCCCCCCCCCGTTCCGATTCCTTCTTACTTCTTAACGATCTTTATTGAGGCGGCAAGCATTTATTGAGCTCTTGTAGTGGAGATTTTTCCTAAATCTCGTGATCCTGAAGCGATTTTCTCAGCAAATCTTGAGAGGAGATTTTCCAGTTTGGAAAATCTCACGCCTTTTGTATGAACAACAGATAGTTTTCTGTTGCTTCTTTTTGAGAGATCTCAAGTTGAGATATTCTCTCTACAAGCTTTGTAATCTTTTTTTATATAAAGGAAATTATTTGTGTGGCTCCCGAGGACGTAGACATGTTGCCGAACCTCGTTAAAACTCGATGTTCTCTTTTCTTGTATTTTTTAATTTGCTGTGATTTTTTCTTTCCACTTCTTAACATAAGATCCGGTAGGGCAAATTCTGTAGAGGGTTTATATTTGACAAGTGGTTGAGTAGCTAAGGAGCAGTTGTACCAACAATTGGTAGATTGAATTCCCCAACAGAAACATGTTTCTGACCGGCCCACTATCAGTCAACCGAAGTGCTCTATCAGTCGACCGAAGTGTTGATATCGATTGACCGATTCCAGAAATCAGTCGATCGTCCAGAGTGATTTTTTCCTATTCATACTGTGCATGCCATGTCGGTCAACTGATCATTTTTATCAGTCGACCGACCAAAAGGGTTTTTCTTGTACCCTGTTGTGCAGGTTTCAACAAAAAGTGGTTATATCACAGAAACCTAACTTGAATATCAGGGGTCCATAAGTTATTTCACTAGATAAAATAACCTATACTATACTGTAGCTTTATGACATTGTCATAGTAATTACCTGACAATAGCATAAAGTTCATAACAATCTAGTGATTTTATTTGAAAATTCATGTCACTTTTGTATAAATAAAAATTTTAATTATACTTAGTCTTTAATTGAAAATTTTGTGATACTTTTCTGCTTATTTGAAAGTATATAGTAGTTTTTTTAGTAAATAGTTTCAGGTTATTTACACTTTAATTAATTAGTACTCTGAAGCTTACCTCTTTTCAAACTTTGATGACCAAAAGTTTTTTTTGACAATTGGTGCCTCAAAGTTTACACTTTTTTAACTTTGAAGCCTCAAAGTTTTTTTGGACACTTTCATAATATAAAATTTAAACCTTCTAAACTTTGGTACCCAAAGTTTTTTTTTGACACTTTGATACGCCAAAGTTTGGGGTATTCGATACAGAAGCTAACAAATGCGTAAAATTTGTGGTATCAGTGTGTCAGAAAAAGATATGGGTTATTAAAGTAAAAAAAAATGTCAACACTGGGGGGTATCAAAGTGTCAAATAAAAAACTTTGGGATATCGAAGTATAACAGATGTAAACTTCAGGGAACCAGGGTGCAAACAACCCAATAGTTTATGATGTTTTTGTCCAGCACTCCTTAACTAGTCCTCCAAAACTCGCATAAGATAAGGGCCCAGTTGTGAGACTACTATGGGCCGGCCCACTAAGACAGCAAAGTCTCATCCCCTCTCTCTCCTCACATTCTCTCTCCTCAGGCGCACGTAGGGCTGAGCATGGTTCTGTCCAAATCGAAAAAACCGACCGAACCGATCCGAATCGACCCGAAAAAATCGGTTTTATGAGGACGGTTCGGGTCGGTTTGAAAACTTTTTAACCCGAACCGACCGAATATAGTGCAATACTACTCATTCTGATCTCAAACCCTACCCGACCCATCCCCAAAGAGTCAAAGACTCAAACCTTAAACTTATTTTCTGAATCATTATATGGGTTGAAAACAATATCATTATATCAGTGTTTAATGCTTCATAATCTCCTACTTTGTTGATATTTTTTTTTCTTAACACAGTTTGTTGTTTGATAAGAAGTTTGATGAAGTTAGAACCGAATAAACCGAACCGAACCGCACCGAACCGACTTGCAATAGTTCGATTCGGTTTTGAATTATAAACGGTTCGATTCGGTTGTTTAAATTTTAGTAAAAACCGAACCGAACCGACCGTTGCGCACTCTACACGAACGCACTCAGCACTCTCTCTCGTCCGAAACACGCATAAGATAAGGGCCCAGTTGTGAGACTACTATGGGCCGGCCCACTAAGACAGCAAGCTCTCCTTCCCTCTCTCCCCTCACTTTCTCTCTCCTCAGACGCATGTACGCACTCAGCACTCTCTCTCTCTCTCTCTGAGCGATGGATTTCTCTGGCTCCTCTTCTTCTTCCTCTCGAAGTCGAGCTAACAAAAAAACCGACATCTACTCCACCTTCGATGAAAACGCTGACGAAGAGGAAGAGGAAGAAGAGGACTCCTCTTCTCTCCCTCCTCTCCTCCAGCGCCTCCCCAAGGACTTCGGCGCCGCCATCGACGACGACGACGAAGAAGAAGAAGACGACGACGACGACGGAGGCGGAGATTACTCCGGTACCTTCATCGTCAAGAAGGACAGCAGGCCGTCGCCCGCTCCTGCATCTCGCCGAACCCTAAGATCGCGGAGCCCTCGGGGTAGATCAGATCTCGATGACGTGTACTCGACGTTTGTGGTCAAATCGACGCTGAGATCTAGGGCGGAGGAGGAGGAGGAGGAGGAGGAGGAGGAGGATTCATCGGTGTCGGGGACCTTTGTGAGGAGGAGCGTTGGGGGTTTTGGATCGCCGTTCATGAGCGAGGCGGTGGAGAGCATGAGAGCTTCGGAGCAGCAGCAGCAGCAGAGGCAGGCGTCGGTGAGCTCGGTGCCGGAGAGCCTCACCAGAGAGGATCCTTCTACCAAATATGAGCTTCTTCATGAGCTCGGTGAGTGTTTGGTTGCCAGTTTGGATTTTTGTACTGCTAGATATCCTTAAAAGCGTTGCCTAAAAAAAAGATGAATTTTTTTTTGCTTAAAGTCTAGAATGGATTGCTGAAATGGGGACAATGTATTACTTTAGGAAAGGGACTAAACCGGGAAAGATATCGAAGAAAGGCTAATTTGGAGTTTTGGGTTGATATCAATTAGCTTTGGGTTGATATCATTAAGTAGTAGCATAAAAGATGAAACTTGGCTTAAAGTCTAGGGATTTGAGATTGGTTTGCTGAAGCGGTGGCAATGTACTATGAAGCGGTGGCAATGTACTATGTTAAGAAAGGGACTAAACATTGAAAGGTACGTTAGAACAGGTAATTGGTAGAAGTACGAATTGGTAGAAGTACGAAGAGCTACCTCAGCTCGAGAAGTTTTTTATGTAGTGTTATTTGTTTTGATTGGACTTGGACTTTTAAATTTTAGGTTGTTTAAGTGGAGCGCAAAAATAGAACCTTCTTAAACCACTTTCCGATTTATCTACTGCAAGGATGAGATCTTGCCTTTGATTTTGACATTGATCATGTAGTACAATCTGACTTCAAAGTTCATAATAAGGATCTCATAGTATTCTCTCATAAAGTATGGACTAGGGGCTGTCATTTGATAGAATTTGGCTCTGCATGATGTTTGTAGTTAATATAGTTTTTAGTGGGAACTGTTTTAATTGACTAGTAACCAGATCTTGTTGTAGTATTCCAATTAGGTTTGCCAGACACAGAGTATTCTGAAGTAAACATGGGTGCTAGATATGACAGATTCCCCAAAATCTGAAAATAGTGTTATGAGAACATGAGACTATATATCTCTTTGTTCGTTAGTAACTTTTGTTTTCCATATATATGGGTATACGTTAGATCTCGTGTTCTCATGAGCTCGGTGAGTATGTAGTTGCCATTGCTTCTTTATTTCTCTTCAATGTGGAATTTGTGGTTGAATATGATTGAAGAGTTGCATAAAAGATGAAAACTTTGCTTAAAAATTTAGCATTTGTGTTGTTACGTGGCACATAATATGGTAAGAAAGAGCCTAAACCTCCAAAAGTACCTTAGAACAAGGAATTTATTCAAGTATGAACTGTTGTCTTTGCTCAAGAAGTGTCTATGTAGCCATGTTTATTTTAATTAGACCTCTGACATATAAGTTCTTAGGCTTTTTGTATGGAGCGCAAAAGTGGAACCTTCTTAAATAACTTCCTGATTTATCTACTCTTAAGGATGAGATCATGGCTTTGATTTTTGATATTGGTTCCGTCATGTAATCTCGTGTTAAGTGGAAAAATTCATCATGAAAGAGAATTTTTGTGGTATATGTAGTCTTATTAAAAAATGGATCATCTGATAACATTTCGTTGTGTGTGATGTTTGTAGTTTTATATAGTTTCCGACGAATATTGTTTAATTATTGACGAGTAGATTTTGTCTTAGTATTCTGATTAGGTTTAGTGATACAAGAAAGAACTTGACCAAGATGGCACCAAATACGACAATTGCTCATAACACAGATATGAGAACATGCCTATATATGTCTAGTATACATCTATTGGCCATATATATGGATAGCAACAACAACAATGAAGAGCTTTATCCAAATTTCGGGGCCAACTACATAAATCCAATGCTTTCTTCGATGCAAATCAGTTGAGGGCTACCTCTTCGTAGTTCATATCTCTTTAGTTAAGTTAACCTTTATCTCTAATCTTTAAATTATACTCTTATCACTTCTTCTAACTGCGGGCATTCAGTGGTCTCTATTGCACATGAGGAAACCATCTCAATTTCTCTCTCATTTTATCCTCAATAGGAGGAAACTCTAGCTTTCAATAAATGCATTCATTTCTTATCCATCAACACCTGTAGAATGAATTCTGTGATTTTTCCTCAACCCTCTCTTTTAATTTTTTATTTTGGGGCAAAATTTCTAAAGAGTTACAGAAATGCGAAAGTTTTGCTGCAAGCATAAAGAATTGAAAGTAATGGGTGAAGGAGTTTCAATGTTCTAGATCCATCCTGAGAGTGAAGGGGAAACATGGGAAGATTCTCAGTTCGTAAAAAGTATGGGCTTTTCGTGTGTTTAAGTGTTTACTTAGTCAGATGATGATGCCTGATTGCCTGATAATAATGTTATCAACTAATAAACTTGTTATGCTTTTATTCTTGTAAATATCCTACCTTTTTCTTTCTATGACAAGCAGGGAATGCACTTATCTTACTCAGAACCCAGGCTTCATTCAAGTACTGATTTGCATTCCATTTGTAATTAGCATTTCTTTTTCATAATGATAGGGAAAGGTTCATATGGTGCTGTTTACAAAGCTAGGGATTTGAAGACTTCAGAGCTTGTCGCCATAAAAGTGATTTCGTTATCCGAGGGGGTATGTTACCTGTCTTATAGTTTCTTAGCAAGCATTTTGCTCTCTTCTCCAACATGCATAACCATATCCTTAAAATCAAGTTATACTGATTCTTAGAGGCTTCATCATATTCATTTTTTAGGTTAGCAGAAATAGGATCTAGCTCATAACTCTTTTATAGTCTGCAAATTTTCTTATAATGTGGAGTTGGAACCTGCATTACAACTTACACTGGTGTTGCTTATTTCTATTTCTATGTATTTTGTTCTCAATGCCAATACTGAACAATTTATGAGAAGTTTAATTTCCATTATATTGGTGATAGAGATCAATCTAGCTAATGCAATCATTTCAATGTGTTGCTTGAGTGTAGTTTAACGTAGAATTAGAAGCTTAGTTCAATGAAGAGCATGTTTAATATTTAGTTAATAGTTAACTTCTAGGCTTTGAGTTGAGATAAGCATGCAGCAAAGTCTAAGAAATTAGCTGGTTTATCTAGCAACTGGTTCTTGTTTTTGGTGTCCACAGGGACTGACTACTTTAATTTCTCCGCGGAAGTAATAAAAGAACATTGATAAAGCTTTGGAGCATAACTCCTGTTTATTTTATATATTCTTTTGGTTCCATTTTTGGTCAATTTGCACTGGATATGGTTTCAACAGTTCAATTTTTATTAGCGTACAAACATGCGAGAAGGTCATGCCAAGTCTCTAGATGAAATTACTAATAAAAATTTGTTTTGTTAGAGACTCTGGTCTTTTGGTTATGTTTCTCTTTGTTTTCCTCTCTGCATCTTCTTTCTGTTTCAGTTTTGACTTTTGAGTAATCTCTACATTGAACCCATGTTTCCTTCCTCTATATGCCCAAGCCCAAGTCTCTCTTGATTGTGAGCTAATAATCGTTAAATCATACTAAAGCTGTAGTAATAGGCATTCTGTCGACTTCTTTATTGACTCGTTTGTTCTAATGTCTTTGTTTACCCCTTTCCGCTCTTATGACTGTCTACCTATCCTTGAAAAGCATCTCTCCTTCAATGCATGGCCACCACAAACTTCCTAGCATGCTGCCTCAAGAGAGCTTTCTATCCCAAATAAAAGCGTATATTAGCTTATAGAAGTCATTAAATAAAGTTTCCATTCTTTTCCTTTGGCATTTTCCAGTGTAGCTACCATTATAATCGACAATGAGCTTGATGTAAGCCGTCTTGATAATGATAAAACTATATTGAATGAATGCTGACACGGAGACACAAGATATACAATACAGCACCAGAAAATGTTACACTGTCAATTTTAGAGTCTACAGAGTAACAGAACACAAATATTGTCTCCAGTGCAAGGATGAGGCATGTCTCTGACATGAACAACCTCATGTTTGAGTATCTATGCTGACTAGGATTAGGAACTTGATCTTGATCCAAAAGCAAAAGTGAGCTGGAGAAATTCTGCATTGTCTGGTACAATATTAGTGCCAAAGCAATTTCTTTGTCAATTCAGTTCAAGTTCTGACTGTTTAGCCTTTTATTTTTCTCTTTCATATCATCCCAATCGAGAGATCAACTTGAAACCATCTTTCTTGTTTTTGCCTGCATGACTTTCACATGTTCTCCTTACGAAAGGAATGCAAGTAGTCTCCACCACTGACTTAGTGAGCAACTATGATGCACGGATACGGATACGGGACACGAATACGACACGGATACGGGATACGGCGAAATCTAAAAAAATAGGATACGGGGATACGGCAAGGAATTTTTTTATAAGCTATTATTATATATAGAAAATTTTATAAAATCCAACTAACAATAAAAAATATGAATCTATCACAAAATAACAAGTTTGTAAACAAAAAGTACCTCAAGAGGAAGTGAAAGCTAGTCTGATGACTTCTTCATTGCCTTCATCATCAGATTTATGATAAATGACAACGTAATACGAAAATTTCGATTTAGTATAAATGAGTAACTTTCTTCATCAGATTTATGATAATAATATAACGCTGGGCTGCTGCTCGAACTCAAAAATTGGAGGAGATGATGATGACAGTGGTGGTGGTTGTACAGGACGGGGGGGAGGAATGGAGGGTGAACTTGAGGAGTCGGAGGAAGGAGGAGTCAATCGGCGGGATCGGGTCGGAACAGCGGAGGTGATCGAATCGAACGGGAGTGAGCTGAGAGATTGAGAGAGGATTAGGGTTAGGGTTATGGTTAGGTTTTTTCTTTTTTTTCTTTCGTTTGAGTCAGCTGAGGATCAAATCGAACGGGAGATTTGAAAAATAGGGATGAGTTTTTTTAATCGAATGGTTCAGGTTGGATTGTAACAACCAAACTCGCAACCTGCAACCCGAATGAATCGGTCTTCGACGAATCCGAGCTCCTTTGATCGTGTCCGAACCTAATTTAACCATTGACTCGTGTCGGACACGGATTGATCGTGTCCGACACGTGTCGTGCACGTGTCGTGACGAATCCGTGTCCGATTCGAGTTGGACACGGATTCGTGGCCTCCGGGGGCGAATCCGTGCTTCAGAGGTGAGCAACTCTAGGTGCAGCTAAAGAGATTTGTGGATGAGTCCAGAAGCAGTTGGAGTAGTTGATGTTATTCTAGAAATTGTCAGGTATTAGTTAGGGTTCTTTATAAAAAGTAGGTTTGTTTTTAGATTAATACTTTTTAGAGGCTCTTTTTTGCTAACAGTAGAATGCAAATTAGGAAGGCTGCTAAAGGTTAGGCATCAGTTGCATTTTATGTTAGTAATAACCTGTAGAACTGTTAGATGGAGACGAATATGGAGGGATATCAGAGAGAAGAGGCTACTTCTATGCATAGCAGGTTTCTTAGTTTGTGAGATCATCACAAAATAAATATACTAAATTCACTGTGGAAGCGTAAGCTGGCTTGCTTTTGAATTGAGTTTGTTCCCTTTCTCAGTCTGGTCAGAGAGGATCAATCTGCAACATTTATGTTTTCTTTAGACTATAAATATGTCTGATTTACTGAAATTGGTGTTTGATTACCTTTTGGATAGAATCTTAGACTGTAAATGGACATTTCTTATGCTGGAAGACGATGACCTTTTGGCTAATGTTCCATTTCTTTTCTTCTTTCTCTATGTTGTTTTCATTCTCTGCTTTAGATTTGGACAGTGACCAATATACTGAACATGTACTTTCTTTAAATAATCCCATCTCCTCCCTTTTCGTAATTTGGTTGTTTTAGAATCACTCTACCAGGCTATCAGCTTGGATTAAATAACTTGCATAGAGGACTTATTGAAACCAAGGTCTATAAACTTTGTTTTTTTGCCATGGAACATATGAATGGAGCTGAGGGACAGGTTGATACATCTAGTTTTTGGTGTTTAATTTATAGTATCATGTTGTTTCACTTGGCATGGCCTCAACACTGCTAGGTGTTAAACTATATCATCTCATCATCTCACTTCAGAGTTCTTACCGCAGATTAGATATTTCAACAGAGAAGGTAAAGTAGTGTCCTTAACCACCGTTAGCTGCTTCCTTTTCTATTTCATGATACTTCTCTGTAATTTTATGCTTTCTATATATTTGATTCATGACTAAGCTAGTGAAACATGCACGGCAAGGAGCTAATTGGGTTTTGGTTACTGATAGGAATGACAGTTGAAGAATGTCCTGGATAACTAATGTTGGTTTTTATCTAGGACAGTGTGGATGAACAAATTGGATAGATGACTTACTTCGAAATTATTGAGCTTTGACCATTTTAGATCTATTCTGTTAACATTCTTTTCCCGAGCATATGCAGGCCTGATGGAGATTGCAGCGTCCACAGTTTTGTTTAACATCAGCTATTAATATGTACTATTTGATTGACTGTTTCTCATATTTTTATGTTCTTCAATTATTCATTGAATATGTAAATCTTTGACCATCTCAAATGACTTTTTATATCAGTTTAAAAATCATTTTATGTAGTAGGTCATGGTAGATGTTGCAATACCTGCTTTCTTTGTCTTCTCACTATTCATTGTATGATCAATGTCAGGAGGAGGGATATGATGAAATCCGAGGTGAAATTGAGATGTTGCAGCAATGTAGTCATCCGAATGTGGTGCGCTACTATGCAAGCTACCAAGGAGAGGAGTATCTTTGGGTATGATAAAACTGCCCAACTGTATTGCAGTCTTTTAGTTAGAAATGAGTGATATATTATTTTATGTTCCTTTAGATGATCAATATTAGGTTGTTCAATTCCAAAAACTTATAAACTCACTTCTTCCTGAATCCATGCTATATGTAGTTTATCCATGCATTTGCTTAGAAAAAAATACAGCTAATTTTCATTGAACTCCAATACTTACAGTCACTTCTAAAATCGCAAATTATGCAAGATATTGTGATAATACCAAGCAATATCTGTAATTATCAAAGTTACTGAAAGAATGCTTGCATTCTCACTACGAGAAGGTTCATAGCACAACATTAACGTCACATTAAGCAATTATTGATCTACAGAGTTTGGGTACATAGTGGAACTTTATACGTGCAAGAGCTTATGGCAAAAAGAAAAACATGTGTAAAATGATTATTAAAGGAAGGAAAAATGGAATTCATTGATGATGACCTTTTTCAGTGTCAATCTTTTGACGCACGTAATAACTTACTTTATGTGATATAAAGAAGGTACCAGATTTCACAGATAATACTCAAGCTAATAGATACTATATTTTTCAATTTTTGTAATATTTCACGAGCTATATACTCCATTAATCCATGCTGTAGAACTGTTGTATTTCTATTGAGAGGATACGTGTTGTAGAATTCATAGAGAGCCTTAGGTTTTCCTCACTTATTTCACCCATGTTATTGGGTTTAAATTTCTGAATATTCTGTGTAGACTGTGTATCTATATTTTTTCATACAGGTGAAACCAATGTGTTTCAGTTAATTATTATCAAAGCTATATGCATGGAAATATAAAGATATATCAGTTTTAGCTGCTATCGATGATATTAATATATATAAATCTAATTTTGTTCATATGAAAGAACATGATTAAAAGCAGGAATTAGAGAATCCTATTTTTTTCTCTATATAGTTTACTAGACTTTCAAACTCACATCTCGTGAGAACTAGCTGTCAAGTGTAGAGAGAGACTGTCAAATTTTCTAAGAAGAGGCCCTATGTATGAGATCATAATCAAATGCTAGTTGTGTTTGTTTATAGATGAAGGATATGTAGATATTTGCAATTTGTAGATAAAGGATATAAGATATTTGTAATTCTAAAGCCTATCACATAAGACTTATTGTTTCTGGATATCATAACCTTTAGAACTCCCAAAAAAAACCTTTAGATACCCCCCCAAAAAAAAAAAAAAAAAAAAAAAAGAAAGAAAAAAAGAAAGGAATATCAGTTTAGCTCAAGTTTATGGTGTCACAAGATCTGTGGCGATGTAGTAACATGCAAGAACTCCTTTGTTAGGAAGTTCTCTCTTTCCTTGACCTTCCAAATATTTCAAATCAATTGAAGATGACAGAACTAGTGCATCATAATTAAGCTCAACAAATCGAACACTTAGTAATTCTGTTGCCTGTTAATATATGCAGTATGCTGAAGTTTAATTGGCTTTGGCTCCAAAATGTGTGAATGCAGGCATCGTGATTATTAATGGACAAGTAAATAACATGCCAAGCCATGAATTTGGCTTGCCTCGTGCATGTCAGTTTTGAACCAATACAAACCATAGATGTAGTCAGACCCAGCTTAATTTTACTTAAACGCAGCACTGGCATGAAACCTGAATAACTAACAAGCAGGGGAGATGTTTCCACCATGTTCTGGCTATTCTTTTGTAGACTTGTCCTGCAATTGCTCCAATCCTAGTTAACTTAGTGCTAATCTACTGAGGAAGCAAGTCAACTGGAACTTGCAATGCAAATAGATTTAGGAGAAGTTTCAGAGTTCTAGTTGAGTAATTATGGGTATTTTTCGGGAATATGAAGAACTGTATTAATTTGTGGGTTGTGATTTCTGAAAAATCATATTAAGTGTGTTATCTTGTGTTCCAAACCCTACATTACTGAGATAGTGAGATCTACAGTCGTTCGGGTAATGGTATGGATACAGGCCATGGCAAATCTATAAAAGGTAGGGTATGAGGACACGGCTATATATATATATATATGTGTGTGTGTGTGTGTGTGTATGTATTAAAATTAATAATTAACATAAGATCAATATATAAGAAATAGATGGGAAGTGTAGAATATACATCCAAGAAGTGTATGAGGAGTGTTTTAAATTAAAACATGTATTATATAATTGAGTATAGGCCTGAATAAACATATGCACATATTCAAGAAGTGCTCAAGGGGTTTGGGTATGGGTACAACTTCCTAATAGAAGTACCCAGGTAACATAGTCATTGACAGATAATAGTTGGGATCTCTCACTTATTGGCAAGAATGAAAGGATTTTCATTGGTTCTTAGTTGGACTACCTTTCTTCACCTTTATTCTTCTTATAGTCATAGTCGAACTCCTTTTCTGTTTGCACTTACCATCTGAATCTTTGTGCTTCATGTACACCCTTTCCCTTAGCAAGTAGAGCCGCATCCCTTGTTCTGGTGCAACAAGTAGTCCTGTGCTTCTCGCTTATTTACCAGATTACCTGAAAGAGAATCCGTCTCAGGAAGCAAGACCACCAAATTAAGGCACAGTAGAAAACTAAACAACAAGGTCAATTGCGGTTCTCATGCATACAATTGAGGTTGAGTGCATCATCAAAGGAAAACAGTCTGAGATAACCAGTTTGAAAAGTTGTGTTACCTGTGTCCACTACGTCCAGCCGTTGGTCTGTTAGCAATGAAGTAAAGGTAGAGCATTATTGACCGATGATTTTAAATTGTGGTAGAAGTTTTTTAGCTGGCGCACAGGAGCACACTTCCATTTTCCCTTTCCCAGTAAGTATAAGTTATCCTGTGCTCCTATGCTACCACATTTTCTGGTTCTCTTGTCAGAACTTATAATAATTTACTAATAATGCAATGCGTATTCTGCTTTGAAGCAAAGCCTATGCTCTCAGCATGCAGGAAGTTTCGTGTAGCTTCCTGGAAGTTTTACCCAATTGAACACCCAGTATGACACTATGACTAATTTTAACTCTATAGCAAAAATTAGATGTTATAGGAAAGGGAAAAATGCTTCCAGCCCCCAAAAGCCAAGTGAACATGCTTCCCACCCCCAGGACTTGGTCAATGGGCGTTTTACCCCTAAAAATAAAGAATCTGTTCTCTGAGCCCCCAAAACACAAAACCCAAGACATTAAAACATGTGAAGACCATAATACCCTTCTCTCTCTTTCTTTTTTATTAAAATATGATTGGGATTATTTTATTATTTTTGTTTTCTCTCTCTCTTTATCATGATGTACCAAGAGGATAGTTAAAATGATTGATGAGAATTATTTTATTATTTTCGTTTTTTATTATTTTGGTTGTTTGTATTGGGAGGTTGTTAAAGTTACGGGTTGATTGTTAAAGTTACGGGTTGATTGTTAAGGTTAAGGGTTTGTTGTTAAGGTTATGAATCCTCTCTCTCTCTTTTTTTTTTATTAAAATATGATGGAGATTATTTTATTATTTTTGTTTTCTCTCTCTCTTTATCATGATGTACCAAGATGATAGTTGAAATGATTGATGAGGATTATTTTATTATTTTCGTTTTTTATTATTTTGGTTGTTTGAATTGGGAGGTTGTTAAAGTTATGGGTTGATTGTTAAGGTTACGGGTTGGTTGTTAAGGTTAAGGGTTTGTTGTTAAGGTTATGAATCCTCTCTCTCTCTCTTTCTTTTTTTATTAAAATATGATGGGGATTATTTTATTATTTTTGTTTTCTCTCTTTCTTTATCATGATGTACCAAGAGGATAGTTGAAATGATTGATGAGGATTATTTTATTATTTTCGTTTTTTATTATTTTGGTTGTTTGTATTGGGAGGTTGTTAAAGTTACGGGTTGATTGTTAATGTTACAGGTTGGTTGTTAAGGTTAAGAGTTTGTTGTTAAGGTTATGAATCATCTCTCTCTCTTTTTCTTTTTTTATTAAAATATGATGGGGATTATTTTATTATTATTTTTTCTCTCTCTCTTTATCATGATGTACCAAGAGGATAGTTGAAATGATTGATAAAGATTATTTTATTATTTTCGTTTTTTATTATTTTGGTTGTTTGAATTGGGAGGTTGTTAAAGTTACGGGTTGATTGTTAAGGTTACGGGTTGGTTGTTAAGGTTAAGGGTTTGCAATCATTTCAACTATCCTCTTGGTACATCATGATAAAGAGAGAGAGAGAAAACAAAAATAATAAAATAATCCCCATCATATTTTAATAAAAAAAGAAAGAGAGAGAGAGAGGATTCATAACCTTAACAACAAACCCTTAACCTTAACAACCAACCCGTAACCTTAACAATCAAATCCACAACCTTAACAACAAATCCACAACCTTAACAACAAACCCTTAACCTTAACAACCAACCCGTAACCTTAACAATCAACCCGTAACTTTAACAACCTCCCAATACAAACAACCAAAATAATAAAAAACGAAAATAATAAAATAATCCTCATCAATCATTTCAACTATCCTCTTGGTACATCATGATAAAGAGAGAGAGAAAACAAAAATAATAAAATAATCCCCATCATATTTTAATAAAAAAAGAAAGAGAGAGAGAGAGGATTCATAACCTTAACAACAAACCCTTAACCTTAACAACCAACCCGTAACCTTAACAATCAACCCGTAACTTTAACAACCTCCCAATACAAACAACCAAAATAATAAAAAACGAAAATAATAAAATAATCCTCATCAATCATTTCAACTATCCTCTTGGTACATCATGATAAAGAGAGAGAGAAAACAAAAATAATAGAATAATATATATCATATATTAATAAAAAAAGAAAAAGAGAGAGAGAGAGAGGATTCATAACATTAACAACAAACCCTTAACCTTAACAACCAACCCGTAACCTTAACAATCAACCCGTAACTTTAACAACCTCCCAATACAAACAACCAAAATAATAAAAAACAAAAATAATAAAATAATCTTCATCAATCATTTCAACTATCCTCTTGGTACATCATGATAAAGAGAGAGAGAAAACAAAAATAATAAAATAATCTCCATCATATTTTAATAAAAAAAGAAAGAGAGAGAGAGAGGATTCATAACCTTAACAACAAACCCTTAACCTTAACAACCAACCCGTAACCTTAACAATCAACCCGTAACTTTAACAACCTCCCAATACAAACAACGAAAATAATAAAAAACGAAAATAATAAAATAATCCTCATCAATCATTTCAACTATCCTCTTGGTACATCATGATAAAGAGAGAGAGAGAGAGAAATAATAAAATAATCATCATCATATTTTAATAAAAAAAGAAAGAGAGAGAGAAGGGTATTATGGTTTTCACATGTTTTAATGTCTTGGGTTTTGTGTTTTGGGGGCTCAGAGAACAAAATCTTTATTTTTAGGGGTAAAACACCCATTGACCAAGTCTTGGGGGTGGGAAGCACGTTCACTTGGCTTTTGGGGGCTGGAAGCATTTTTCCCTATAGGAAATTGTCCGTCTCCAGTAGTAAGTCAACCATAACAGACAAATCTATATGATGAGCTAAATGATAAAATTTATCTTCTAATATTACATATTATCCTTTTTGTCTGTTTAGGGCGGCATGATATAATTGTTGCTACCTTGGAAATTAGCTTCTGCTAGATACCTGACTTTGAAAAAGGAAACATATTAGTGATACGTTCCTCATTTTTTTTGTTTGTTTGTTTTGATTAATATTGGAAAGACACTAAAGTGTTTACAAACTAGCTTTCTTATAACCTCTTTTAGGATGTTGCGGAGCCCCCACAAATCATTTTCAGTTTGTAAACTTTGTGACTATCAGTTGTTCACTTGTTTATCAATTGAGGGTTTAATTACTAATTTCTCTCAGGTTACGCAAAAGGATATAACATTCATCACATGCTGCATTTCTGCTAATCAACATGCTCATGCTTCTTTTTTCTTTTCCAGAGTTGGTACTTGAGCATGCTTATATTTCTCACAGACCCTCTTCGGCTGTTTCTTAGGCATAATGACTGTTTTCCAGCTGAATTCTTGCATGCAATCTAGGAGACTGCAAATAAGGATGCTTGTAGTCTTGACCTTCTATTTTCTCTTTTTTAAGCAAATCTCCTTTTGATGCTATTTCATCTTGCAATATTGGGAGCAAAGAATTACTTGGCTCATTATATTCATAGAAGTACTCGGTTCTTATTAGAAGAATGTTGTTTCTTTTTCTGTACACAAAAACTGAATGTTGAATGGAACTGAATTAAATCATTATTACATTTTTTTGCGTTATTGCATCTGATCTCTTGTGTTGTTTGTTTGGACAAAAAGGTGTATTTCTCAATCGTCAAGCACATTTTATCTGTTTACGTATGTATACCTTTGTCTTGAAACTCATTTGTATCTGCATTTGGTGACAGATAGTGATGGAATATTGTGGTGGGGGTAGCGTTGCTGACTTGATGAATGTTACAGAGGAGCCATTAGGAGAATCCCAGATTGCATATATTTGTAGGGAAGCTTTGAAGGTATCATATGATTATCCTTAGTATTTAAAATTGAATGCAATAAAGAAAAATGCAGGACTGGCACTTCATAAATACTCCTATCTAACGCGATGGTCAGAGATGCATGTTTCCTTTTTTTTTCCCCCCGGTAAATCGGGTTATGCATTTTTATCTTTTCTTGAATCTGTAATTATAGACCAAGGATGAAAGAATTATGGGGTTTTATTTAAAAGCATCTTCTCTCACATCCTCTGGACAGCCACTCATTATAATTCTAACCGAGATGATACATATCAGATCATTCAAGAGTTAAGATCTTTCCTTCTTGTTTCAGATGAAAAGGGACTAGCCCTCCACTTGGACTTAATTTATTAGAATAACGCTACAAGTTGGCACTGTTTGATAACAAGATTAGCCTAAGGTTAAGGCTAAGTTTTGCGAGACAGACAGTAGTGGCAACATCCAGTGCATAAAAGTTAAAAGGGTACTGTGCACATTTAAAAAAAAAAATTCATGCAACTAGTATTCTACTTCTGGAAAAATCCTTTAGTTACAATTCTTTGTCTTGACCCAACTCTTGATGAGACATAGGATACCCTATTACTGCACTTGTTAGAGAATGCACGACTCCTAAACCTCAACTCTCTAGCCAAAGTAGGCCATTGAGTCTTCCATTTGAGATTTGCAAGATATGTTAGTAAATATCTTCTCAATAAAAAAGCAGTGCGTTGTCGGATAAGTAAACTGGAATCTCAACATGTACTCTTTTTTGTATGTAGATTTGCATCAATGGTATATAATTTTTACCTTAATCATCTAGCTCTCTTTCATTTGATTTCTCTTGGTATAAAGCCTCGTCGTTATTGAGCCTTCTTATTGTTATTTGACAAATGTGAGTTTTATGTGATAGGTCCTATTCTCAATATTATAAATTTAATTTTCCTTGATGTAGGGTCTTTCTTATTTGCATTCAATATTTAAAGTCCATAGAGACATTAAGGGCGGCAATATATTGCTCACTGAGCAAGGAGAAGTGAAGTTGGGTGAGCACTACTTAAAACACATTTCTTAATGTATAAATACTCAAAAAAAAATCATATATTACTTCTTTTTCATTGATTGGCAAGGAGATTTGACTTCCATATCTGAACGGCAAATTGATTTCTGCTTTATCACAAGTAATTTGTTATCTGACACAGTAAATGGACAGGTGATTTTGGTGTTGCTGCCCAGCTCACAAGGACCATGTCAAAGCGCAATACGGTATTATTCTCTGGCTTACTCCAGCTCATGCCTCTTAACGTTCGAGATGAAGTGACTACAGAAAAGCAATCTTTGCTTTTCGATTACCCTATTTAAATATAACTATTACGACGCTACCTCATTACTCTTTGGCCACTACAATCTTAAATTGGAACCATGAAGTACAAAAACCTGGCATGTTCACTTTACCACACATCGTAGCATGAAAATTTAGAAGCCTTCTCTACATGCGTTTGATGATTTGAATAAATTCCTCTTTCGATTGATAAAGTCCTAGCTGTTGATTACTATATCTTTATTATATAACATTATGTTTTGTAATACCACACATTTGTAGTTCAAGCTGCAATTATACCTGTGTTGATTTCTAATTTTCTGGCGTTGAATAAGACTTCGGAGAAATACTAATTTCACTAAAATATCAAACTTTAGTTAAACTGGCGTAAATATTGTTTTATATTTAGTTACTCTGAAGATTGTGCTCGAACTCTATCAAAATAATGAAACAGTTCACAATCAAGGAGATTGGAACATGGCCTGCAAATATCACAAAACATATTACCTAAATCTACAAAACAGTTACGCTTTATAAAAGTAGCAACTAGCAAGAATAAAATTTCAGCACTAAACAAATTGTGCTGTCGAAGGTATGTCAATAACAATGAACAAGATGATTCATACTGAAACTGCTTTGAACAGGCATTCAGCCTTTTATATAAATAACTATGACGAATGCAAAAATTTGGACTTCATTGTAAGCAACTTCTCTACTAGATCGCATCACAAGTAGCGCTAAACCCTTTTGGTTAAGTGACCTCAATGGCAGACCATATAGCTGTGTGTCTTAAAATTGCACATTTTGCTGAAAGAAGTGTTAGCTTCAATACTAGGCATTAGGCAATCATATCCAAGTCTTTAATTTATGAGTATGTAGATTGCTGAACTCAAAGATAAAACTATGAGTTTTGAAGGAAGTGAAACTAGATATCTAATGCTACCTCAGCAAAATGATTAGAGTTTTAAATATCCCTGATATGGCCAGATATATCTCCCGATATATCCTTTTACAGGGCTTGTCGTTGTCGCAACCGATATGATCTCTAAATATCCTTTACTGCTTTTTGGCTATTTTGGGCGATATATCCCCGATATATCAGCCAATATGTGGATCGATATATCTTTTTATATGGCTTGTTGCAAAATAATATAACATGTTTGACAATTTTTGTGCGAGATATTATGATTTCCCCATTATATCAAATGACATTTAGCCCTAAAAAATCAAACCAAATGTTGCAACATTGATTTGTACTTTCGTTTGTTTTACAAGGGTGATTAGTGTTCCCAAACATATATTATGTACATTTTGTATGCTTAGATTTCATTATATATGTTGAAATTACATTTTAGTGTATTATACTATATATGCAAACATCCATTATTATCCCGATATTTCCCCGATATCCCCAATCTGATATGAATTTGGGCCAGCCAATATTTCTCCGATATCCAATATTTAAAACCTTGACTAGAAGAAACTAAATGACGCCAGTGCATTCTGATCTAGTTGAAATTAATTAGTCTCCTGCCTCATCGCATTAAACTGAGGTGAATTGAATTTGCAAACGTTAGCATGGTAGCTGTTGGGCCAATATAATCGACTGCTTCTGGGTAGAGAGCCCAGGAGCATGGTTTCTAGTTGATTATCCAAGAGTATTAAATGTGGTGCTAGATTGTTGTTAGACTGTGATATCTGGCTACTTGATAATGCATCCACTTCAACAAAATGAGTATGTACATGCTAACTAAGACAATCACACAAGCTGGCGTAAAAATAATTGTATGTAGAAATTAATTATGGATTAGCAAGTGATTGATTATTATTATTGTTTATGAGCTTCCTTCCTTCAGATTCCTTGCTTATGTGGAGTCTGCTTCTGTACTGTCTAGAGTAGGCTTCACAGTATCAAAAGCGAGTTCTCATTCAATCCACAATTGGCTTAACTTCGATTTTAATCAAGGCCATCAGATACACTGAATTGAAATTGACACAAGTAAATGACCAAATAGAAATTTTGATTATTATTATTATTATATTATTATTATTGTTTATGAGCTTCTGTCCTTCAGATTCCTTACTTATTTGGGAGTCTGCTTCTGTACTGTCTAGAGTAGGCTTCACCAGATCAAAAGTGAGATCTCATTCAATCCTCAATTGGCTTAACTTTGATTTTAGTCAAAGCCATCCAATACACTGAATTGAAATTATCACAATTGAATGACCTAATAGAAATTTTGAGAACCATCTTACTTCGAAACCATTTGAGTTGTGACTCAGGAACACATCTGTTTATTTTGCTTTTCATGGATAACTTGATTAGTCTTAATGCATGACTTTTTTATGTGGTAATTTCATTCATGCACATGTTATTGAAAAGTATTTGTTGGTTTCTCCTTCAGCCCTACCTTTTCTATAATTAATATGTTAAATGCGAATTTTCTGTCATTACCTTGTTTATCTTCAAGGTTTATGTTATTTTCTTATTCTCTGCCTGTTTTATCATTCAGTTTATTGGCACACCGCATTGGATGGCACCAGAAGTTATACAAGAAAGCCGCTATGATGGGAAGGTAACATCATTTGTGCATTGCCTTTTGTATTTGTTGAATTTTATATTGTATAAAAGCTAAGTGGACGTCAATTATCCTCATCAGCATTTTTCATATTATCATGGAGAGTATGTGATATGTGATAGCATCTTAATTTTTATCTACATCATTTTCTACTGCTTTCAGTGGGCATTAGTGAACAATTTTTTTTTCTTACACACATTATATTAGTAGTTTAGTACCTATGTACACGTATGCTTAACAAAAGTCAGCCAACAATTTAGACTGCCTGTCACAATCTAGCAATAGAAAGACATAACAAACTATAGGTTCACCAACAATCTAACTACTAAAGTACTGCAACAGCACCATATAAAAGACACCAGATTTTGAACATAACCTAACAGAAAATGGCCAAACCATGAGCCACAATGCTGCTGTTCACCAACAATCTAACTATTAAAGTACTATAACACACCATTTACGAGACACCAGACTTCAAACATCAGCAAATGAAAAATGGCCAAAGCATGAGCCATCATGCTGCTGTTTTAGGGCTATAAACAGCATCAAAAGCTATGATATCAAAGGCTTGAACTCCAGGGCTTAAAACCTTAAATTTTCTCCTAACATAAGTTAGAGTTGAATCATATTCAGGATGACGCTAAGCTAGAACAGGGTAGTCAGCAAATAATGGAAAATTTATCCAAGGATGACAGTGCAGCTGAAAAGTAATAATTCTTCACTTTTCTAAATTATCAACCATCACAAGTTTGTTCTGCAATCATACTAAAATTCTGATCTTAAGATGGTCCACATTTTTCCAGATAACTTTAGAATATTTGTTTGTTTGAACAATGAAATATGTTTCTGACTCGTTTAGAATAGAAATTGACATTTATTAATTTCACTGTTTCGATATGCATAAAGTGAGTAGTGGCTATCTAACAATAAATGAAATCATTATGATGAAAATTGTACGAGAAGCATGTGAGGAACTGAGTGTAGATGAAATGAGAATGATGAGAAGTGTAAGCAGGAAAAAAGTGGTACAAGAATGAGTGTATTGTATTAAATCAGAGGTTACTTCAATGAAAGATAATATTAAGATTAATCCCAACTTTAGTATTGTTTTAATTCTCTTTTGACACGAAATAGTCCCTCCAAGAGGCAAGAATCCAAAATCCGTGACATCCCTTTCATACGCAAACAATCCCTATGAAAATCCCAAAACAAAGCTAGAACAGTACTTCTCAAATAAATGGGGAGCAGATTTTGTATGTCACTTACAAGAGACACAAGGCTGATACATACTAATATTTTTCTTTCCTAAATTATCAACCATCAAAAGTCTGTTTTGCATAATCAACTAACTTAAGAGTAGTTACCTTTTCCTAGATAGTTTTACTTTATTGAAAATAATGAAATATGTTTTTCGTTGGGGAAGATATATACTTGTTTGCATTATTTGTAAGGTCAATCACTCAATAAGAAAATCATGTTTATGGATCATAATATTGTGCACGGAACAAAATATACAGGATTGGATGCAGATGAAATGATAAATCTGAGATGTATAAGAAGAAAGTAAAATATAAGATGGAACAAGAAGTGAGTGGCGAGTGCATATGTTGTAAACTAAAGGTTGCTTCTATAAGGATAAGATAGAGGTCAATTGTTGAGATGACTTGAAACATGTGCCAATAGAAAATTAGGTCTAGGTTCACAGAAGTAGCTAGAATTAATCAGACCACGCTGGCAACTTGGTATGGATTGATGTGGTTAAAAAAGGTGTGACTAATTTGAGAGAGGTTATGGTCAGCGACAGAGCTGAACAGGAAAAAAAGGAAAACAAAAAAAAGGAGAAAAGTACTCATTGCGCCAACACTTAAAACTTTGTGATAAGTTTATTTTAGGCTAAATATCATAAAAAACCCCTTAACTTTGGACGAATGTCAAAAAAATCCCCTTAAACTTTCAAAATATCAGAAAACCCGCTTACGTTTAGGGGTTGCTATAAGTTATAACCCCCCTTTTAACTTTGAGGTTTTATCAAAACCCCCCTAATTAGGGGCGGGGGGATTTCTGATAAAATATGAAAGTTAATGGGGGTTTTCTGATAAAATCTGAAAGTTAAAGTGTGATAATCCCTATACCTAAGAGGGGTTTTCTGATATTTTGAGAGCTAAGGGGAGTTTTCCGATAATTGTCCAAAGTTAAAGAGGGGTTTTCTGATATTTACACTTTATTTTAAGATTATGAAATGAATTCTATGGCACATATATGTTCTGTAGTCTTGAGTTTAAATTTTCTTGCCTCAACAATACGAGGAGAGTGCAAAAACAATATTTTGAATAACAGCTTTCTGAGGGCACATGCAGTTGGTTACAAACCGCCATTCAGGACAATTTACTTGGTTCCAGGTGAACGAACACCTAATAAACTGAGATAGAGCTACTGAGCTAGTTAATCAGATTGGAGAAGTTGGAGAGAAAAGTTTGTAAAAAAAATCTGTGAGTTTAGTGTAAGTTCTTTGAAAGATAATTAAAAGTTCTGCTCTAACATTCACCTAATAAACTGAGATAGAGCTACTGAGCTAGTTAATCAGATTGGAGAAGTTGGAGAGAAAAGTTTGTACACAAAATCTGTGAGTTTACTGTAAGTTCTTTGAAAGATAATTAAAAGTTCTGCTCTAACATTCAGGAACTTTAAAGACAGTTTAGTTTGAATTCTGTCTTTCATGAAGATGTTCTTTGTATTTTTTAAATATTTTTATTTGCTTTTAAATGTGATAGTTCATTCATATACTTTTCAGATGTTGTCCATATTACCACTGTTTGTGTTTCCTACACCCACTCCACAGTGCATGTACAAGCGCATATGCACACTCACAAACACAGTGGGGAAAAAAGTACACGTACTTACACATGCATACACGTACTTACGCATGCATGCACAGAGAAAAATAAAAATAGAAATCTAGTAGAGTAGTCCTGATTATTCACACTGCCTAAATGGCTGAATTCTTCTGCAGAGAAGTATTAACTTAAACTTCAAAATTTTTTCAGGTTGATGTGTGGGCTCTAGGTGTTTCTGCTATTGAAATGGCAGAGGTACTGCACTTAATATGTTTAGACATCTTTGCAGAATAGTGTTAAATGTTGAGCTTGTTGGACTTTTTTTCATGCTCCCGTTTTCTTTTTCTTCAAATTTCTTGTCATATGGTAATCAGTCAATCATTAGCTTTTAAAATATGACAATTCATTAATCATAATTATTCGCAAGCACTAATTCTCTCTTTTTTTCCTATGAATTCTCCTATGAGTTTCAGGGGTTTCCTCCAAGATCCACTGTGCATCCAATGAGAGTTAGTTCTTACCTTTAATTTTTTTATTAAAGATCTCTACTTCTGTGTCACATAAACTTTTGTTATTCTTGTATTACATGCTTTCCTGGAGTCAGATAAGTTTTTGCTATATTATTATTACATGCTGTATCTTATACTGTTTTTGGAATGCTCTTTCTTGGTGCTTCTGATACTTGTCCGTTGCTGATTGCCAGCCGATAATCAAAATTTTCAGCCCGTGCAGATTTGGAAGCAAGATTATTCTGAGAAATTGGAGTGCATTTAACCTAATATAGAATATATCGATTCTGATGAGTTTGGCTGATTTTTTTCATAGATCATTGTTCGTCATAAAAGCTTGCTCGTTGCGCTGTATCCATCAGGTGCTATAGTGGAGCTGTTGATAAGTGGGTGTATTAAACTAGTGTGAATGTGTCGTGAGGGCAGGTCAATAAGTAGAATGAGTTGCAAAGAAGAGGGGCTCAAAATGCATATCTTTCTAAATCTATTTGTTGGTTATATATTGGTATGGCAGCAATTGTATAAGTTTAATATACAGATCTAACTTTATTAGGATACTTGTGGAGGACGTACACTTTTTTTGGGGGTTATGTTTTTTGTTTTTATTTTATTTTATTTTATTTTATTTTTTTTTTTTTTGGGGGGGGGGGGGCTGCTAATTATTTGTCAATAAACCGGCAGTAAAATGTCAGTTTGTTGGTCTACCTTCTCTTTAGAGTGATCTGATAGTTCTGACAGGGTGGTTATTCTGTACTACTGTGTGATGCATCGTTTTATCATGACTTATATATCTTGTCACAATGGTAATCTTGTAATGTCAAAGTAATTATCACTTAATATGAACTGAGCATGTTTTAGCAAGATTTGTTCATCTTAGTCGCTCTGCATGCATATGAAATATCCACTCAGCATACATTCTTTGTTCATGTTGATGATATTTGGACGATCCATTTTGGATTGTCCACGATACGTTCTAGTTGCAGGATGTATACTCATTTATCTTACCTTTCAGATAATGTACTCATTTGTCTTTTGGAGTTTGCTTGCTCTTGCATGCACGAATCTTTGCATCTGTGTGCATAAAAATGCATGTGATAAGTTTAAGTTGTTGAGCCTTTTTTTCTGTACACTAAGCTTAGTTTATACATTTTAATTTGGCATAATCATGCTCACACTGATTATTGATAATAAAGTCTTACCTAGCCTTTACGTGCCCTAGCTGAGAAACATGTGGTTTGGCCTGACTACTTGCAGTATTTCATCATTTATGTTGAGCCTTTTACATATTATTTTCTCCAGAGTAATGAATAGATGTTTTTAAGATACTAGTTCGAACATATAAAAGGCATCCCCAGCTCCCGTCATAAAATGTTTTCCAACATTTCTACTTGTTTGATTTGCGTGGAAGCACGTCTTGATATACACAGGGAGCAAGATAATTGATAGCACATGCAGAAACATAAAAAATTGTTTACTTATTGAATCATAATTGCATGATACAAAACAACAATATATGATACTGGATGGAACAAAATAAGTCGAATTCAAAGGCATACGATAATATGCCAATTGGAAGCAACTTAAATTTACTTCAAACTGTTAATTAAATCAAGAATTATTGTAACACAATTAACAAACTAATTATGCAATATAAAAATAACTACCAAATCCAATATATAGGAAAATAGAGAGAAATTTATCATTACAAATTACTAAATACTAAATTCATTTAAAAAATCCAAAATGGGTCATGTTTGATCTTCATACTGCAGAGCGATGTCAAGCATATATTTGCACCACCTTACTATTACAACATTGCAATTGTATTGTTGATGCCTAAAACTAGGGAGTATTAGACCCAAGAATGTCGTGCAAGCGTATGCCATCCTTCTTACATTAAATTACTTGCATCTGGAAAATGTCAAGGGAACCGAGTTCAGGTTGTAATCTTAATTCTTGAACAATCCAGCTCATGGATGCTTGAGCTACTTGCCTTATAACCAGTCCAGCATGACTTTGATCCATATTATAATTATAGACCTTCTAAATGTCTCAACTAGTTATGTGCAAATATCAATTAGATTCAACTAGTTTTATGTTGAAGTTCTAGGTGGATCCTAATTGGATTTATGGTTGAGTTGCTGTTAGGTCTTTACTAGAAGTTCTAGTTAAAGAAACCCAGTTTGTTCTTCTCAAGGTTCCTTAACGCTATTATCTGCTGCTTATGTTTTGGATAAAGTTCAGACTGTTCTTGTTCTTTAGGAGGTTTTCTGACTCTGGACGTAGTCATTATTGCAATATTTTCTTATGTGTTTTTGCACCTTACCTTCCATCTTTGAACTAAAAAAGTTTTGCATGTAAAGCATATTACAAGCTTATGTATTTGA